CTATACAGATGACCCAGCTATCATGGCAGGCACCATTACCAATGCCACAGTTCCCCTACATCATCGACAAAATGCTGCCAACGATGTTGGTCTCTGTGTCAATGCCTCCAAGACTGAATTCATAAGCTTCAAACAGGAAGGCTCAATACAAACTGTCTCAAGTGAATGAATAAAATCTGTCGAATCTTTTACGTAGGAAGTGACATAAATTCTACTGAAAAAGGGTGTTGAAATTTGCCTAGCTAAAGCCTTGAAAAAAATGGATGTCGTCTGGAAATGTCACCAGACAACATCAAACGGAGATTCTTTCGAGCCACTGTAGGGTAGGACAGATAGATTTTTCAGCTTTTACAAAATGTACATTGCATTCGATTTGAAAGTTGGGGTTTTATGTGATAAGTATTTACACTAAAAATAGCTTTTGCTAATTTTTAAGCATTTAGTTGTAAAGATCGTCTGAACAAATGTACAGAAATTCCTAATTTCTGCTGGTTTTTGCTTACGAACTGAATTCAAAATTTTACAGTTTCAAAAAAAAATTTAAATAAAGTTGATATATTTTATTAGAAACATTGAATGGAAAATATATTCAAACCAGAATTCTGATTATGAATCATAACAAGCAAAATATGCAATTTTTTTAATGTATTCGATAAGTAAAAACTGTAAGAAATTATAAATGATTACAAAAAAGGCTACTCAATTAATAAGTATCTGTCTATATTTCTGAGATGTACACTATTTACATTATTCGGACTATTGTCCACATCTTTGTCGTCATATTTATTACAACGTTTCGGCCCTTCAGTATCTGTCTATATTTCTGAGATGAGGTATTATGTACACTATTTACATTATTCGGACTATTGTCCACATCTTTGTCGTCATATTTATTACAACGTTTCGGCCCTTCAGTATCTGTCTATATTTCTGAGATGAGGTATTATGTACATTATTTACATTATTAGGACTATTGTCCTCATGTTTGTTGCCATATTTATTACAACGTTTCGGCTCTTCAGTATCTGTCTATATTTCTGAGATGAGGTATTATGTTCACTATTTACATCATTCGGACTATTGTCCTCATCTTTGTCGCCATATTTATTACAACATTTCGGCCTTTCAGTATCTGTCTATATTTCTGAGATGAGGTATTATGTACACTATTTACATCATTCGGACTATTGTCCTCATGTTTGTCGCCATATTTATTACAACGTTTCAGCCGTTGTACGCTCCGGCCTTCTTCAGGTGGTTAGAATGTCGAACTGAGCCCTTTATTTCGCTCACTGGGGTAGACTCTTCTAGTTCCACGTGCCAGATCTAATAGATGTCAGTTATCAGTTATCTCCTGTTAATTCCCCTCTCCAAGTTCTCCACTAACTAACTTCCTTGAGGACACATGGCACAGTGGATACAGGCATTGGTTAGATCCAGTGACAGGAACCAAAAAATTGTGTGTTCAATATCCGGTTAAGGCAGTGGAGAACTTGGAGAAGACGGAAAGAGCGTCACTGAAATCCGAAGGCGTATTGGAACTGCGAAAAATGCCTTCCAAAAGCTAAGCAAAATGTTAAGAAGAAAAATTTCGTTTGAAACCCCAAAACAAGAGTACTGAACTGCAACGTAATATTAGAGATTTGAGGCAACACAAATGGGATTCTACAGAAGGATGGTGAGGATGCCACAAAGTGAACATGTGAGCAACGACGAGGTTTCAGAGACACTTATACATAGCATCAGAGAGAGACAGTTGAACTGTATAATGAGGAAAGAGGGCTTGGAAATTTTGACACTCATAGGAGATATTGAATGCAAAAAGAACAGAGGAAAACAGTGAATAACCCACATAATGAGCCTGTACAAATGGTTGGAAGAACAGGGACTAGGAGAGATATCAAAAAGACAAACTTTACTAAGAGCAACAAAGGAGAGGAAATTGTGGAGAGCCGTTATCATCAACGCCCTGAAGGGACCCGGCAAGAACGAGATTGTGTAAACAGTTGACAGAATAGGGATTAGGAGAGATAACAAAAAGATAAACTTTACTAAGAGAAACAAAGGACAGGAAATTGTGGAGAGTCATAATCATCAATGTCCTAAAGGGAACGCGCACATAGAAAGAGAACGAGATTATGTAAATGGCTAACAGAACATGGATTAAAAGAGATAGCAAAAACACTAACTTTATTAAAAGCAACAAAGGACAGGAAGTTGTGGAGAGCCATGATCACCAACGTCCTGAAGGGACCCGACACATAGAAGAAGAACGAAATTGCGTAAATATTGGCAGAACAGGAATTAGGAGAGATAGCAAAAAAACAAACTTTACTAAGATAAGAAAAAAACAGGAAATTGAGAGCCATGGAAAAAGAGCCATGATAAACCAACTTCCTGAAAAGACTAAATTTATTAAGAGAAAAAAAAAGTAAGATTCTCTTAGAAGAGATTGTATAAATGGTTGGGAAGAAAAGGGATTGAAAAATGGTTGTCTGAAGAGGGGAGAGATAGCAAAACGACTAACTTTATTAAGAGAAAAAAAAGACAGGAAGTTGTGGAGAGCCATGATCACCAACGTCCTGAAGGGGAACATAGTCCTGAAGAAGAAAAAAAAACAGAAAATTAGAAAGAAGAATGCAAAAAATGGTTTAGAAGACAATTAGAGAGATAGCAAAACGACTAACTTTATTAAGAAGAATAAAAAAGACAGGAGGGATTGTGAGAGCAAAACGACTATGATAAGAAAAAAAAAAACGTCCTGAAGGGAACCGGAACATAGAAGAAGAATAAGCTTGTGTAAATGGTTGGCAGGAGAGGGATTAGGAGAGATAGCAAAACGACTAACTTTATTAAGAGCAAAAAAGACAGGAAGTTGTGGAGAGCCATGATCACCAACGTCCTGAAGGGAACCGGAACATAGAAGAAGAATAAGCTTGTGTAAATGGTTGGCAGAAGAGGGATTAGGAGAGATAGTAAAAAGATAAACTTACCTAAAAGCAAAAAAGAACAGGAAGTTGTGAAGAGCCATGATCAGCAATGTCTCTAAGGGAACCGGTACATAGAAGAAGAACGAGATTATGTAAATGGTTGGCAGAACAGGGATTAAAAGAGATAGCAAAAAGATTAACTTTATTAAGAGCTACAGAAGACAGTAAATTGTGGATGATGTTGTATAGCCGAACCTTCAACGTGGTGAGATTAGAAGAAAACAATAATTAAGAAAAAAAAAACATGGCGGACTTGACTGCACTGTAAATAAAATCTCTTGTTAGTCGTCAACCTGCCTTTGTTCATTACATGATAATTCATATCCATAGAAAAAGATGTATGGAATAGATATTTATTTCAGAAAGCTAATGTTTCGTGAATATAAAAACCAAGTGCAATTTTTTTCTAGGTCGACAGAGATTTAATGTTTTTCAACACACTGATCACATCTATTGTAAATTTTGTTTTTCACATAAACCTCACTCACTCAAAACAGATTCAGTGTAAAGGCTGATCATTCAAGTATAATATGAAAAAAATCGTAAAAGTTCGATACCCCCAAATATATATATATATATATATATATATATATATATATATATATATATATATATATATATAAAGAATGGCCGTGAAGGAAAGGAACATGCTAAGAAAAAATGGAGGAGTAACACAGGAGGAAAATTGAAATAAGTGAACGGACGAATGTCTTGAAAAAAATGGTAAGAAGGAAGTAACTATCAAGAATAAAGAAACATAACAGAATGAATGGTAAAAGAGAAAAAAGTGGAATAAAAAAATTGAAACGACCAAAAAGAAAGAAAATGCACCCAAAGAAAGAAAATGAAAGAAAGAAACAAGCAAGAAAGTAGCAAACAACACGAAAAGAAGACAAAATGAAAGAACCAGCAATCAAAGAAAGAAAAAGTAATAAAGGGACAAATAAGAAAAAAAAGAGGGTGGGGAAGAAAGAAGCAGAAGATAAAAAAAGAAAGAAAGAAACAGAGAAAGAAGCAGACGATAAAAGTAACAAGCAAATATGGAAAGAAGCAGAGGATAAACAAGAAAAAAGAAAACAATGAAAGAAGCAGACGATAAAAAAGAAACGAGGAAAACAAGGAAAGAAGCAGACGATAAAAAGAAAAAAAAGAAACAAACATGGAAAGAAGTAGACGATTAAAAAGAAACAAGGAAAGCAAGGAAAGAAGCAGACGATAAAAAAGAAAGAAAGAAAACAATCAAAGAAGCAGATGATAAAAAGAAAAAAAGAAACAAACATGGAAAGAAGCAGACGATAAAAAAGAAAAAATGAAACCAGGCGAAACAAGACGAAACAAGGAAAGAAGCAGATGATAAAAAGAAAAAAGAATGAAACAATGAAAGAGGCGACAAGAGAAAAGAAAATAGAATGAAAGAAAGAGACCACAAAAAATAAGAAAATGTAATAAGAAAAACGTGTCAAAATAGAATGATAAAAATAAGCTGACGAGAAAAAGTGAACAGTAAAAAAGAAAAAAAAGAACAGAGACCAATATGGAGTGGAAAAGAAAGCAAGAAAGAAAGAAATATAACAAAAGAATAAAATAAAGACCTACATTTAGAAAGAAAATAAATTCAGAAAGAAAGAAGGAAGGAAAAAAGAAGGATTAATATAAAGACGTAAAAGAAAGAATAAAATGTAGTGTGAAAAAAAGGAAAACCAAACGAAGATAGAAAAAATGAAAGTATGAATTGAAAAGAAATAGATAAGGATTAATATAGTGAGGGAAAAGAAAGAAAGAAAGAAAGAAAGAAAACCAACATAGAAGAAGAAAAGAAACGTCAACATATAGAGAGGAAATAGATAAAAAAGAAAAAAGGAAAGAAGAAAGGAAGATTATAAAAACGGAAAAGAAAGAAAAAAGAACAAATTACAGTGAAAGAAAAAGAAAACGCGGCACAAAAGAAAAAGAACGAAAAAATATGAATGAATGAATGACAATATAAAGATGGACAAAAAGAAAGAAAGT